GGAAGCCGCGGACAAGGGTGGCGCGTGGAGGCGCGTGAGGCAGAGATAGAGGAAGCGAACACTGGGGTTGGGTCGCGCTCCTCGAGGCGAGCCAAACCCAAGTGTCAGAGAGGAAAACGGCGCCGGAGAAGACAGCACCGGCGGCGGACGGCGGCGAACGGCGATTAATGCCAGAAAAATAACAGAGACAGGCAGAGCGGGATGAACCCGCTCTGATACCAACTTAAAATAGAAAAAGAAAATAAAGAACTGATTTTGAGAGCCTGAAATCATCTTCTTGTGTTCTCTTATTTATAGGAGATAAAAATACAGATTCAGAGATACAATAAATAGAGAGACATGATTACTCCTAGAGAAGATAAACAAATGCATTCTAGGAACTAGGTCTACAACTAATTCTCATAAATGTCCAACAAGATACACTTAATCTAATAAATACTTCAACAGAGAGGAAGATGGAGTCCGATTAATAAAAAAATAAGCAGTGAGAATTGCATCTCCCCAATGATGATCAGGGACATTAGCGTTCAACATTAGAGAACATGCAGTCTCAATAAGCTGTCTATTTTTTCTTTCTACATTGCTATTTTGCTGTGGGGTGTGAGGACAAGTTGATTGATGTAAAATTCTTTGGGAAGATAAAAAAGAAGAAAAAGAGGCCGAGAAATATTCTTTGGCATTATTACTTCTAAGAACATTAATTAACTTCCCAAAATGATTTTTAATTTCATTGAAAAAAGATACAAAAATTGACAAAAGTTTAGATCTGTCTTTCTTCAAATAAACCCAAGTACATATAGAAAATTCATCAATAAAGGTCACAAAATAACGAAAGCCAAAAGAGAAAACATGACTTGGGCCCCAAATATCAGAATGAATATTTGAAAAAGGAAAATTACATCGAGTTTCAGACTATTAAGGAAAAGTAGACCTAACATGTTTACCTAATTGACAAGATTCACACTCTAAAATCCGAAGATGTTAAAGATTAGGAGTTATTACTTTCAACTTAGATCGACTTGGGTGACCCAGACGATCATGCAAAAGTTTAGGGGCAGGAGAAATCAGACAAGACATCGAAGGACTTGATTTTAGATAATACTGACCACGTGATTCATGTCCTTCTCCAATCAGACTACCCATACCATGTTCCTGAATAACAAAAGAATTGGAAGTAAAGATTACAGAACAATTCAAAGAATAAGTAAGTTGACTTAGAGAGATCAAATTATAAGGGCAATTAGGAATAAAAAGAACAAAATTTAAATTTAAAGATGGGGTTAAAGGAACTTGGCCAACACCTTGAGATTTCACTTTGGATCCATTAGCTACAGTATTTAAGTAAGAAATTTTTGGATAGGATATGAAGAAAAACGATGAACTATTACTAGATATATGATCGGAGGCACCTGAATCAAGAATCCATGGGTTTTGACCTCCACAGATTGAGAAATGCATGCAGTTGAAACACTTGACATTGAAGAGGATTGATCCTGACCGTTAAACTTTCCAAATTTGAACTTCAAAAACTCCTGATACTCCTTATTAGAAATCTTCATATCTGAATTTGAACCAAAAAAGATGAATAAAGCCAACGAATAGAGTTACCCACGGGACTTTTCACACACAGTTCTCAAACCAGAAAACTAAGGGCACCACTAGACTCGGAGGACGCCAGTGAGTCGAATGGAGGTGGGTGGCCTTGATTCTGACCACAGGAAGGTGGCGCGGGGGACACACGCCCCTGAGAGGGCTCACTGGGATGACCGTGTGTGATGGCACGTGGGGTAGCTGACGAAGGAGCGACTTGCAAGGGTGGGTCATGTTCCTCGAGGCGAGCAAAACCCCTCCTTTGCCGGTCCAAACGGAGACGGTGGTCGGAGGTGACGACGACGGACAACGGCTAACGGTGGCTGGAGTTGACAAAGGCGATCGGAAATCAGTGCGGGATCTTACCCGTTCTGATACTAACATGAGAAAACTTATTTAGGATTTGATACAGTGACCAAAGACACTGATAGATTGTATTTATAGAAAAAAGAGATACAATAGATAGGATATGGGCCTCAGCCCAAACCCTTAACCCTAAGAAACATTGAATACTAAAAGATACATAAACAACAAATCTCAACAATCTCATACACTTCAATCTGTTTAAGAGTATAACTAATTGTCAATTGATGAATAATACCCATATTTTCACAAAATAAGTTGAAGTCATTAGAAATATACCCCTTCCAATTATTTGATCTCAACATTTTCATTTTGTAGCCACTTTGAGACTCCACCATATCTCTAAACTTTTTAAAGACATTAAAAGTTTGAGCTTTGCTTGCCAAAAAACATACTCATGCCATTTTAGTAAAATCATCAATAAACACAATGAAATATTTGTTTTGACTTAGAGAAGGCATACTCATAGGACCACAAAAATCAGTACAAACAAGCTCCAGTTTGTTCTTTGCCTTTGTGTCCTTTGTTCAAGAAAAAGACTTCCTATGTATCTTCCCAAATTGACAAGCACCACATAAATTATCAATATTGTCTATCATAGGCATGTATCTCACCATATCACGAGTTTTCCAAAATTTCAATGCAGCCATATTAAAATGACCATATCTTTAATGCCATAATGCAGAACCATCATGTTTGGAAACAAGTGCTGATTGATAGACTTGATTCAAACTAATTGGAAAGTTATTATCACACATTTCAACCTTAAGAATTTCAAAAATCATTAGAATCAGAAATGGTGCGACCATTGTTTTTTAATTAGTGAATATCCTTTCTTCGTTAGCTGAGCAACACTAAGCAAATTTTGATCCAAGTCAACCTGACATCATGAATAAATTTAGGTCCTTTGCTAGTGTTAAGAGAAATTGTACCTTTTCCTTTAGTTTGAATGATTTCTCCATTTCCAAGCTTAACTTTGGTTTGGACACCCCTATCTAAAAGAGGTAAAGATACTTGAATCCCATGCCATGTGGATATTTGCAACCACTATCAACATACCATACAACCTTTGAACTCGAACTACATGTTTGAGAAGCCATAAACAAGTGATATTCTGTTTGGGGTTGCTCATCAATGAAATTAACTTGATGTGCATGTTGTAGTAGAGTTTGTTTCTAATTAAATCTGCAACACCTCTCTGTGTCCCCACTTTTTGCAATTGTTACATTAAATTTGAGGCTTCCCCTTACACCAACAATCTTTTGACAAGTGATTTGTTTTTTTTTTTTCATGTAGTACGAGGAAAATTACCCCATACAGTTGATTCATTACAACATCCATCTATCTTATTTTTCCCATTTCGATCACTACTTGTTTTATAGTTTAGGTTCTTTTGATTTTGCTGAACTGGTTGTTTCCCCTTATTAGCTTGAAATGCACCTTTAGTTACATCATTCATCCTCATAGAGAATCTTTGTTCTTGAGCTTGCAATTTGCTAACCATCTTAGAAATAGTTAATTTCTTGAGATCACATGACTCTTCAATAGCACCAGCTTTGACTTCAAATTTATCAGGTAGGCTAATCAACATGTTTTTTAACAACTTTTCTATCTTCTACAACCTCACCATATAATCTCATTTGATTTACCAAATGTGATAGCTTTGAAGTGTACTCTTTGACAAACTCATTCTCTGTCATTTTTAGCAATTCAAATTCTCTTTTAAGAGTCAAAAGCTTACTTGACCTTACCCTTTCATCACCTGCATATATTTTATTCAGTTCATCCCATATTTGCTTGGCGGTTTCCAAATACATAATGTTGGTAAAGACCTCATCTGTTAAAGCTGAATGTAGACGTGGGACAAATTTCTCCTTCTTCATGGTGTCTCCATGTTGCTTCATTTGAGCTATAGTAGGATTAGCTCGTAATGGTGGAACTTGCTTATCTTGATCTGCATACTCTCATAAACTAAAAGATTTTAAATATTGTCTCATTTTGACAACCCATATGTGATAATTTTTCCTAGAAAATTGACTAACAACAAACATAACATTGCTTCCCCAAGCCATTGATATCTCACCACTGTTTAAATTCTCTCAATGTTTTTTAAGAGACCCACAATTTATAAGAGCACTACTCTAGATATCATTGTTAAATGAAGATAGATTTAATCATAAAAACATAAAAAAGAACCATAACATGAAAAAAGAGGAATGGTGACGGGAAATAGAGCTATTTTTGTATTTGTTGTTGAACCATAATGTATTTCACTAATGACACAAGCAAAGTAATTGAAATAAATAAACATAATTACTAAAAGAAAAGTTTTATGGCCCATTCATTTAACTGTTTGATTCAGGGTTTTATGAGTGGATTGCCCTGCTTCAACTAGGAATAAGATATCAGAATCGTAATATGAAGTAAAAAAGAAACACCTTATCAGATAATCTGTTTAAGTGAATATACATCACTAAAATTTACTTAGTTCCTATACTGAATTGTTGAATTTGTTATTTTAGACATTATGTATGTTGAACTATTTAAATCCTTCTTGGCTTAATTAATGACACTGGATTGGTTTTTAGACTAATTTTAATTCCTTTGACCCTTAATCAGTATTAGTCTTTTCTAGATATAATAAACTTATCAAATACATGAAGAAATTTTTTGCTTATTCTTGTCAACCTTTTGAAAGAGCTCTTAAAAAGTAGGTTCTTTAACTTTATTCTTTGCCAAACATGCTAGTGGTAGATTTGAATAATACAGATTTAAGTATGAACTTATAAAGAAGTTGTTAGGAAATATCACCCGATAACTCGGCTTACTTTCACAGGAAAGCCTAGAAAATAAGAATAAGTTACTTGTCCTTGTATTTATTGTTATCTTGAAAAATAGGAATAAGTTATCCCTTTTTTATTCATGTTTATCTAGGAAATAGGAATAAGTTAGTTAGTTTTTTACAGTCATCTATTTTTATCCTTATCCTTAGGAAAAGAGGGGAAGGGAACCACCCTTTTTAATATATGGGTCAGCAGAACTGATAGATGAGGTTGGGTATTCTAGTTTCCCATGCATAATCAGGAAGGGGAATCACCCTTTTTAACATAGGAACTCCATTGGATTTTTTATTTTTTATTTTTATTTTTACTAATCCATTTATTTCAGAGAATAAATAAAGGCTCCCTATTCTTACTAAGCATTAATTAATAGGCATTGGATCTCTATCATGATGTAAATTTTTTGTGGCAATTGTTTTATTTTTTCCCCCAAAAAATAATGATGCATCTGTACATAGGCTGGGACTCAATATTATCATAATTGAATAGGTATTTCATCCACTCAGGGGTCAATTTGCAGCCACTTTCCTCCAGATGTAGTATTTGTTGTACAAGGAAAACCTATTCCGGCTCACAGAGTCGTATTAAGTGCAAGGTCACCATTTTTCAAGAAAAAGTTTACAACTGATTGGAAGGATCGCAGTGAAGTTAGATTCTCAAGGGAAAGGTTATCATATCCTGCACTTTATAGCCTTGTACACTTCTTTTATTCAGACAGATTAGAGATTGCTGTTAATGACATGGAGGATCTTGTGAGAATCTGCAAAGTATGCGGATGTGAATCACTGCATAAAGTTCTTGAGAAAGAAGTAATTCATCAAAAATATGCTGACTATAAAGCATTGAGAAATGTAGACAATTCTCAGAAACGGTATATTTTACAAGGTCTATCCCTTCCCGAAGAAGACAGGCTTCCTGCTGGCTTGCATCGAATCCTTAAAACTGCCCTTTCATATTCAACCGATGAGACTGGTCAAGAAGATGAAATTGATAAATTGGTATCTAGGATGGGTGCCATGCAGATGGCCAAATCTCTGGATGATCTTGCTGATGTTTGTGTAAAAGTTGATAGAAGTATTTTCCGCTGTCACCAAGTTATTCTAGCATCTAGGTCAGAATATTTTAAAGCAAGATTATCACATATGAAGGACTTCCATGAGGGGAAAGAGGAGTTATCTGTTGACATTCTTCCTTGTCTTGAAGAACATGACTTAAGCATGGAAGCTTTTGAGAAAATGATTGAATATATGTAAGTCTCTTCCCTTGACTATAAGATTTGGAAATTGAAATTATTGGAGGGATTTCATGTGGTACTGACTGCCATGGTAACCTGATGATCTTCTGTAGAGTCTGTTTTACCCTATCAATGTTTAAATGTTTTACAATGAGGATATTCTTTCATACATTTCAGTCATTTCAGATATGTGGCGCATGCTTGTGTCTACAGATTTTTCTGTATTGAAAGTAGGAATTATAACTGGAGAAAAAAGAAAAAATCACATGTTGTATGGTAGTAAAATCTTATTCAAACTGGAAGTTTCTTAAGTAGTTTTCTGGTTATGACTCCAATTAGTCTGAGATTGAATAATAAAACCTATATATATTGCTTTAGTTTTATGAATGATCGCTTTTTTGCTAGGCCATTAATATAATTTGTTGTTTTATGCTTTTGTTCCTTTTTAGTGTCTCCGGTGCCTTAAACACGATGAAGTTTCTTTAATAATGTAGTTGTATACATAACATCAATTTTCCACTACAGATAAGATTTTCATGAATTTTATTGTTATTTGTTGGATCAGGTACACTGAACGTTTGCAAGATATAAATCCAGATCAGGTTTCTATACGCCCATATAGAATCTGTGATAGTCGTTTGTCTTACTGTTGTCTAATATTGATACGTTTTTGAACAGGCTGAGGAAATGTTGGATGTTGCTTCTAGATACTTATTGTTTCCTCTCAAGCGTGTAGTGGCCGATGTCTTGTTGCCACACTTGGAAAGGGTGTCACCAGAAGAACTTTGCCATTGGTTAATACTAGCAGACATGTAATTGATTTTCTGCCAATATCCCTCCATTTTATATTAATGCTTGCAAGTATTATTGTTCATTGATACTCTCATGGGTGGACAAATGAGATCTATGAAAAATGAACTCCAACATAGACACAAACACTCTTGCACAATTAAGATATAATATATGACACACTATTACACCGGACACTCAGATAACTCAAATGAAATGTGTAACAAAAAAATATCTAAATTGATAATCAATATTTGTATATTAATGTTTATTCACCTATTTCTTATGATAATGAGCATCACTAAAGAATATTAAGAGACATTACAACGAAGAAACCTAGCACTTTACCAAAAATCCAAAATAAGGTTAAATAACATATTTACTTTCTCAAACCACCTTTATAAGTCTTATCTACGATAACTCACAAAAATTGAGTCATTGTTTCTTATATTTTATATATTTTAATGAGTAATGATACACATATAGCCACCCCTTCTTAATACACACCTATTAGATATCTCTTCTTTTTCTCTATCTCTCTTCTTATCATATCATATTTCTTACTAATCTATCACTTTTCTTTTATTTTTTCTCTTTCTAGGTGTACATCAACATTTTGAGTGTCCATGGAACAATTTCTGCTGAATATAGAGAAAATAGGGTTTGAAATTAATCTCTCTTGTGTATAAACCACACATAGGGTAATCTATTTATAATAGAGAGAAGTACAACTAAAAAGAGTAACTAAAAAATAATTAGAGTAAATAGAAGATATTGTTTGATATTGTGATTAACAATATCTAACAATATCTTAACAATATTAAACAATATCTAACATCCCCCCTCAAGCTGGAGCATACAAATTGTATGTGCCAAGCTTGTTACAAATATAATCAATTCTAGGTCCCTGTAAAGACTTAGTAAAAATATCTGCTAACTTATCACTTGAATTAACAAACTCAGTCTTGATATCTCTAGACATAATCTTTTCCCGAATGAATTGACAGTCAATCTCAATGTGTTTGGTCCTCTCTTGAAAGACAGGATTAGAGCTAATATGAAAAACTGCCTGATTGTCACACACAAGTTTAATTTGAGTGATATCTCCAAATTGTAACTCTCTAAGCAATTGCTTGAACCAAATAAGTTCACAGGTAGCTGAGGTCATAGCTTTATATTCTGCTTCTGCATTGGATCTTGCCACAACACTCTGTTTCTTACTTTTCCATGAGATCAATTTATCATCAATGGAGACATAATACCCAGATGTGCATCTGAGTAGCAAACAACTCTTGTATGGTTATTAGAACCATATAACAATCCTTTTTCAGGGGATTCTTTAATATACTTCAAGATACGAATGACTGCATTCCAATGATCTTCACATGGGGAATTAAGAAATTGGCTTACCACACTAACTGCAAAGGAAATGTCAGGACGAGTACCTGTAAGATAATTCAATTTTCTAACCAATCTTATATACTTTCTATTCAGGATCAGATATAGGCTCCCCCTGATTTGGTAGAAGTTTGGTATTGAGATTCATGAGTGTATCACCAGACTTTGAACTCATCAACCCAGTTTCTTTCAAAATATCTATGGCATACTACCTCTGAGATATAACAATATCATCATTGGACTGTGCAACCTCAATACCCAAGAAATATCTAAGTTTTTCAAGATCTTTGGTCTGAAAATGGTGACAGAGATGTTTCAACTGAGAGATGTCATAGTTGTCACTACTTGTAAGAACGATGTCATCAATAATACTATCAAATAAACACATCAAGCATTTGAGTGTCAATAAAATACAAAATGATCTGCTTTACACTGAGTCATACCAAATTGTTGAACAACATTGCTAAACTTTTCAAACTAGGCCCTAGGAGACTGTTTTAGGCCATATAGGGATTTGAAAAGACGACATACCATTCTAGAAGACTCTCCTGATAAACAAACCCAGGAGTTTGCTCCATATAGATTTCTTCTTGCGAATCACCATTGAGGAAATAATTTTTAACATTCACTTGATAATGAGGCCATTGTTGAAGAACAGCCATGACGATAAATAAACGAACAAAAGTCATCTTTGTCATGGGGGAAAAGGTATCACCATAATCCAACCCAAAAATTTTAGTATAACCTTTGATTTCAAGACGAACTTTGAGGTGATCAATAGTACCACTAGGTCAAACTTTGATAGCAAACACCCACCTGCAACCAACAAAAAATTTCCAAATGGTAACGGGACCAATTCCCAAGTTCTACTATTATGAAGAGCACTTAGTTCATTTGTCATGACCTGATGCCAAATAGGATGGGCTAAAGCTTCACAGACAATTTTTGGAATGGTCACAGAAGAAATAGAGGAAAGTCATGTATAAAAAGGGAAAGACAGTCGATGATAATTCAAAGTAATAAAATGGGGCGAGAAATTATGTGTAGAATGGATACTGTTGAAAGTCTCACATCGCCTACCTCATGTCATTTGATATGGTTTAAATACATGTTAGGCTATTATAAATAGATTACCCTATGTGTGGTTTATACACAAGAGAGATTAATCTCAAATCCTATTTCCTCTATATTCAATAGGGTCAGTTAACTTATCAATGGATAAGTGCACATTAACATAATTAGTGTAGACAGAAGGATCAGACGCAGTACTGACAAAATTGGAAGTAGTAGAAGGAGCGGAAGAAGTCATGAAAGGAGGTAGAACAAACCCTAAAAAAAATCCAAAGTAATCCCATCAACCCACGAAGCACAGATCCAAAACGAGAAGATCAAAACACATCCGTTGAGACTAAACGGTGCTGGAGATAATGGACGACCAACTCCGATAGTGGTGATCTCAACTGTACGATGGTCGCCTGACTGAGACGAGCAAAATCGTATGTCACTGGTCAAGAATGAAACTCCGGCGATGACTTCGGTGAAGGCTCCAGCGGCGATGCCTCTGACAGTGGCGGCGGCTCCGACAACAACAATGGTGGTGGCAGTGGATAAAGGCGAAAAAATTTTCAAAATAACCTTAAGCTCTAGATACATGTTGAATATAGAGAAAATAGGGTTTAAGATTAATCTCCCTTGTGTATAAAACACACATAGGGTAATCTATTTATAATAGAGAGACATACAACAAAAAAGAATAACTAAAAAATAATTAGAATAAATAGAAGATATTGTGATCAATAATATCTAACAATATCTTAACAATATCAAACAATATTTAACCAATATCTAACAATTTTCTTTCAATAATAATATATTTGTGCACTAGTGAGGACAAAACTTGTGTATCCTTTTTAGCCTTGTTAAAAGGGAGAGTCAAACCAAGAAAACATTGGAGGAACTAGGCAATTAAGAGAGACTTTATGTTAAATAATATCTATAAATATTTAGTCCCTTAGAGTCAAATGTTGAAAGAACAATACCAACGTTGTGAGCTCTCAAGGTCCCGGACAATGTTAGTCATTGCTTTTGGCAATATATAATCTATACCAATAAGCTACAAAAAAAATGTCGTATGGTTCAAGTAGTTAACATCAATGTGGCAACTGGATTAAGCTTTTGTTGTCCATTCCTATGGATGCGTCAACTCAAGTGTCTGAGCTGTGTAGAGGTGTTTAGTTAAGTATTCAAGTTGACAAAATATAATCATTTTATTGAAACACTTGATGAGAAGTGTGTAACACTGACATGTATTTGATAGGTGTTGGTGTTGGAAATGGGTCGTGCATTGTGACACTTAAAGTAAGGTGTTGTGCTTCATGGGAAGGAACTCTTTATATGTTGTGTTTCCATATACATTTATATGATTGTTTCAATACTTTTGAAATCTCATGCCTTACTAGTTGCGTTTTGGTTTATTTTGGACTATACTTGTGTTAGTATAACTATACCTAGCAATATGGTGAAAAATCTATTCGTATATGTACCTGATCATGTTTTGCTTTATAGTTATGTTATGTCTATTGAATATTTGTTCTTGCTTGTCCAGGTATGGGGTTTTCAAGATTCGGGAGTATTGTCTGGACACCATTGCTTGTAATTTTGAAACTTTTGCTGACACCAAAGAATTCCGGGCAATGTTGTTGACTTTGCCTCCACCATCTGGAGACTCGTGCCTTCGAACCACTGTCCCCAGCATTCCTGGATCTTCTCTTAATACTGATCAAGGAAATCTTCTTGATGATTTACGTGAGAAATGGCTTGAAATTGAAGCGGCTGAGCTTGATAAGAGAGATGAGAGTGCTTTGCAATTTGACAAGCGTCTAGAGATGCTTATGCTTGTTGCGGAGCAAGAAGAATCATCAGACAATGCTAATGCTGTTTCAGATGACACTCTTGCATTTCTTCCCATTCACCACTCTGATCTAAAGTGAAAAATAAAATAAATGTATATATATATATATATATATATATATATATATATATATATATATATATATATATATATATATATATATATTGTAGGTCATCATGGTGTTAATCATTATTTGGTAAGATATTACGCTCAGTTGGAGCGCTAAAGTTGAGTTTTTTTAACTTCATTTGCTGGAGCATTCTTCTTTGTATAATTACTACAGATAATATAATCATCTTGATTGCTTGCATGAAATTGTGCATGTTACTTGTTACAACTCAATAACAGCCCGGTTAAAACGTTTACACGACATCTTATAATGTCATTACTATTTAGAATATTAAGAGTATTTTAAGGATTCTCTTCTTGTAAGTGGTTTATGTATATATCTCTTTATATTTCTGGATTCTTAGTCCCTATCTAATGTGAAGAGAAAGTTCTTCAAGAAATATCTACAAGAGGCATGACCGACTGGGGAAAGGAAGAAAAGAGTCCAAGATCACGGAGGTTTCTACGAGTGTTTTAGCTAGAACCAAGGTTAAGGAGTTTGAGGAGTTTCGTCAAGTCAATAAGGACATGAAGACTCTGGTATAGTTGATAGGAGTTTTCATTCTTTGTAGTTACACTATACTGTAGTGGGGTTAAAATCCATTGTTTGAATACTAGAATAAGCTAAACCAAGTCTAAGTATTCAACCTTGAGTTCTACGCAATTTTCCTCTTTCATTCTAAGTGTTATTCCTTAAGTCATATCTTAAGAAGAGTCTTTACAAGAGTCTCTAAGGTGAATCATATCTTTAAGGAGGGTGTTAAAGTTCAAGCTGTCTTAGTAAGTCAAGAACATCTTTGATTATACCTTCCATCCAATAGAGTTGCCATTGTAAATCCTCTTTTCCTACATGTTCTTCATTCTTTCTTATCTTTCTCTGTCTCCAAGTTAGCCTTTTCCCTTACCCAATTCCTTCATGAAACACTTCAAGAAGCAAGTACATTATGTTTCTACCATCAAGAATCTAAGAAACCTCACCAATATTTCTAAGAAAGCACAAAAATCCTTGTGCTAACATAGTTATTTGTGCATGATTAAGATTAAAATTAATATGAAAATAGTTGTTAGTACATTCATTTATGTATGTCATAATTTACTAAAAATATGCATAAGAGAATCTTTATTTAGTGTTCCCCTCCTTTTTGTGTATTTCTACTTACAAAGTACTTGTAATTTCAATATGGTGTTATAGTGATATAATTTTCAATGACTTGTGCTATTCTTAAAAATTGAAATTAATCCGAACTTAATAATGCAACATTGGATTATAACAGGAGAATTATTCTTATTTATATACTATAGTTTGATTATTAACATATTCTTATGTGGAGAATTAGAAAACTCTAGTATGAATATAGATCTTTATAAGTGGTCTAGTACGGGTTAACGCAATAGGTCTAATAAACTTCATTAAGATAGTGACGATGAATATATTTTATTAATATTTTTTTAATATATCTAATATATATTTATATTAATTAATTAATTATTTATTTTTACATAATTTTGATAAAATGTAATTAAATATTTCTATAATAAAATTATTAATTAAATTATATATTTTATCTAATTATTTATACATTGGTACATGAATGATAAATTAAAACAGGAAAAAAGTTTTGATTATTGAGATTTGCTTAGTGTAACAATATTTTGCTCAATGAATTACTCAAAAAGAAAATCATTCTTGGTTTTGCCAATTCGTTCAACAAAGACTAATTTCGCTGAACAAAAGTATCTGACCAACTAACTTAATTAAAATTTCACTCAGTGAAACATAAATCACCTGCTCAGCATGAAGTTGGAGAATCCACTTTAGCAAAATCATCGAATGACACTTCAAATAATCCAATTGATTTATTTTAGGCCTTGTATGGGCCTTACATGTTTCATTTACATTCGGGTTGTATATAAAGGATTAGAGTAGAGTTTACAAGTCTTCTTCCTCTCTTTTTGTATGAATTTTACATTAAAGTTTATCAATTTAAGATGCTTTAGATCGGATTTATTTCTTTTCTCTATTGCTTTCATTTACTTTCTGCAATTTACATTTTCTTTACTGTTTTTGCACATCTCTTTTAATTTTCTATTTCATTATACTAGTTTTTTGCAATTTTAATATTTTTTCATGAGTTTCTAACTTCTTAAGGATGATTCTACACTCAAATGCTTATTTTCTATGATTTAAATTTGGTTCTTTATGATTCTAATCGTTAATAATTCGTTACAATCAATGTAATTGAGATTGTTAAGTTGAATTTCTTCAATTACATCATAAATCAATTTTTAGGTTTATGTGATTATTTTTCTTAGAAGTTGAATTGTGTTTTTAGGTCAATTGTGATAAAGACAAGAACAAGATAAAGACCGAAGGTCTTGAATATTTGATAAAGTCAAAAGGATTTATGGGTTAAGGGTTGTAGGGTTTAGTGAGTCTGCATCCATATTATGTAGGTATAATATTCTATCCATTTCTACAACATGAGGTTCTATCAATAGAATGAAATAAAAATCCTCTAATAATTTTCATTTGTTAAAAATTATTTTAATCGGTTAATATGCTCTTAAGTCTCTTAATTAACTGATATATTTATAGATTAATTGATTAAAATCAACTAAAAACACTTATGACATATTTTTAACTGATGTATTTTTAACATAATCGATTAAAACCACTTAAAGCATGTACTTGTCGTCGTTTTAACTAATACATCTTTAATTTAATCGATAAAAAAAATTTAAGAAAGTTTTAGAAAATGTTATGTCAGTATTTTAATCAATTAAACCTCGAAATAATCGATTAAAATCACTTAAAGAATTTCTTGTTAAATGTGTTAATTGATTAAATCAAGTTTTTATTATCTAAAAGCATTTTAGATTATTTAAGAAATGTTTATTAATCGATTAAACTTCAAATTAATCGATTAAAATCACTTAAAGAACTTTTATTTAAATGTTTTAATCGATTAATTCATGTTTTTATCAGTTAAAATCACTTAAGAAGTTTTTGAAAATCTTCCGTCGATATTTTAATCAATTAAAATATGAATTAATCGATTAAAATCTCTAAAAGTTTTTTTGTATAAATATGTTAATCGATTAAACAAGTATTTGTATCGCTTAAAATCTTTTTTTCAAAAGTTTGTTGAACACTTTAATCGGTTAAGACAGTTAGAATCAAGATTTTTTAATCGATTAAAAAATGAATTAACCGATTAATTAAACCAGTTTGTTAAAAAAAGTCTTTATATATACAGATTTGATTCAACGCGTTAAATGATCATCTTTTAGAAATCATTCAAGCAATTAATAGAGATATTTTCAAGAGAAAAGCATGCTATATTCAGTGGGTATTTTTGAAGTTCTTTCTTGAGGCATTTTTGTATTCTTACTTGTAAAGAAACTCATACTGTAGTGGAATTTTTGCATCTGCATAATCGAGTTTGATTGTTCTAGTTTATTCATTCTCTATTTTCTATTTTGAATCTGTGTAGTCTTAGTGTTTGGAAGGTTGGATATTATTTCTACAACTGGAATTTGGTTGTAGGTTGGTTTGAAGAACTGAAATTTGGTTCTTGATGCAGGTTGGGTGTTTTGCAGTTCTGTTCTATATTAAAAACAAATTCAATCTAGTGGAACTCAACTGAAATTTGGTTGAAACTGGACGTAGCCCAATAGTGTGGGTGAACTAGTATAATTCTTGGTGTTTCTTTTTCTCTTCTTTCATTTTCTTAAAATTTGTTTAAACATTGTTCATTTCTAACTTGTTTTCTAAGTTCAATTCTTAATCTGATTTCTTAATCTTTTAAATTGTTAATATGTATCTGTAAAGTGCAATTCAAAGATCAATTCACCCACCTCTTGATCTCAGCCTATATTTCTAACAAATTGAATGTGATGAATAAAATTTGGATCTATTTAATTGGTTTATGAATGTTTAGAATTCATATAAGTCTATCTTGTGGTTACATCTAGGTCTAGAGAACAACGACAATAAAAGGAACAAATTGATAATTGGAGAATCAACCATTTGATTTTATAGCTTTCTAAATATCTTGCACAATTTTTGTTTTTATTGTTTTTTTAATTACTTTACTACACAATATTCATTACTTTCATTTTGTTGCTTAGTTTTATTGCTTTAATTATAAATTAGATTCATTGCTTTCCTTTATGTTTTTTTAGCACAAAACTCACAAAACCCGCATCTCTTAACTGTTTACAAGTGAGGATTAATATTATAACACTTTGTTAAAGCTCATTGAGAATATGATATAGGTTTTCTTTAGTTACTTCATAATTTTCTTGTACCACATTATTTGATCACAATTAGAAGACAAAATAAGCTATGATTAAAATGACATTGATGTCAAGGACCAATCGATGTTGTTTTAGAATTTAATTGTCATTTGAAAAGAGTTATTATACATATTCACTTTTGTTTCCTTGTGTTTTTGCTTTCTTTTTTATTTAATTTTTGTCATAACTCAAAATCACAAAAAATAAAATTGCTTTCTATCATTGATTCGCTTAATGGTTTGTTTGTTCACTCAATAGATTGGTGTTTTCATCTTGTTTCTTTCTTATTTTTTTCAACACTGTCTATTTTTTTGTTTATTAGAAACTCATTTTACTTAGTCAATTTCTTTCAATGTTGAACTTTTTTTATAATTTTTTCCATTTTTCGCTTAGCAGTTGTGTAATTCGCTGAATGATTTTGTATTAGTGTTTAAGTTTTTTTTGTTATTTTTGTTATATTCACTTAGTGAGGACCTGTTTGCTCAATGATTTTTTTTTTTTTCTCTTTGGACCAAATTCACTTACCAATTTGTGGTGTGCTAAGCTATTTTGCTATTCACTTGAGTAACTAGTTTAGCAAATCATATTCCACTCAACAAATTTAATTTAGTAGTTTCTATTTCTATGTTTTTCTTTGCATTTGTGATTTATGTTTTATTCTTTTGGTTTCTATGATTAAATGCTACAGCCTCACACGACTAAATCACTTGAGTTTGATACAAAAGTTGAAAGAACTCTTCATAAACATAAAAAGAAGAAACAAAGGAATAAAGTCCTCATCCAATAAAATAAAAATGAATCAAAATAATATGGGTGAAATAACTTTGAGAGATTTGACCACATCAAATGCCACTTATCATAACTTATGCATTCAATAGAGAATAATGATGATGTGCCTTTTATACTAAAATCTGGTTTAATACATTTGTTACCTAGATTTTGTGGTCTTGCATGTGAGGAGGATCCACACAAACACATAAAGGAATTATACAATTTTCTTAACCATGGGATCTCAAGGTGTGAGTGAGGATCACATAAAATTTAAAGCATTTTTTGCTCGACACGAATGAGCAAAGGACTAGTTTTATCATTTGCCCCCTGATTCCATTACCACTTAGGATAGCTTGAAGAGGATGATGTTCTTAGAGAAATATTTTCTTGCCTCAAGTGCTACTTCCATTAGAAAAGAGATTTGTAACATTAGACAACTAGATCATGAAAGCTTGTTTGAATATTGGGAGAGATTC